TTAGAACACCCAATTGCTGTTGGAAGTGAACAAATCAGTAAAGTCCACCACTGTGTAATTTAATCAGAGTATAAATTCAACATCCTCAGAGGCTTGTTAGTGAATAGGCAGATTCACAAAGAGCAAGGAACACACCTAAATTACATGTGGAAAAACCTAGCAGAGGCTCCAAAAGATCTGAAACTAGAACAGACATGGTCAGACTATGACGTTAGCCATGTAGATCTAAGCATATTCATCTATTATAATGGGCTAGTCAAAATCCAGGCATAAATCCAATTATGAATTGGTGGAAGGCAACTTGGAAGAGGTTGAGGTATTTGGCAAAGAATGGGGGAAAATGATGAGGAAATATGAATTTCAGATTTATAAACTACACATTCTTGTCTCCCTCTTTCATAATAAAGCAACACTTTGACTTAGTTTATCACATTAAATCAAAATAAAATATATTGAGGTTTGTGGTTGCATCTTGACAAAGTTCAGTAAGTATGAATACTTTTTGAGGGCATTGCAGGCAGTATTTACCAGTATTCAAGATGAAATCATTAGAAAGTATTAACAAAAGACCAAACAGGTATGTGGTTCAGATTTATAGATGTCCCCCAAACTCACTGTCATAATATTATGTACCCATTTCCCAACTAATTTAAGTGAACTGTGTAGCAGTTTCACTGCAGCCCATGGTCTGAAGAGTTAAGGAGACGCCGTCACCTTCATCCTCCTCACCCCAAAGTCTACTAAGATGGAGGAGAGCAAAGCAAATATCTGATGAGACTTTCTCAGCCAGGGATCAGGGTTGTAGAAAACCCAGATTATGCCTTAGAGCCATATTATAAGCTTCCATCAGAAAGTTTAATTTAGAGAAATGCCTACACCTGGAGTCCACAGCCAAACTAAAACCCAGGTGAAAAGTAAAGTTTGTGGACTTCACTGAGATTCATGCTGCCAAAATATGAAACTTTTTCTTCTATACGTTAAAAAAAATCTCATTTCATGAGTCTGTAAATAAATAAATGAGTATTTAAATGTCAAATTGTTATAAAAACAAAGAGATAATCTACAAATAATCACATTGGAATGAGAATGAACCCACTGCAGAAACACAGCTTTGCTGGTTTCCATCAATCTACCCAAGTTCTGTGTGTTGAATTAGGAATGGCTGGTGTAATTGCATAACACATGACTGGGGCCCTTGGGGTTAGATTTTCCATCTTACACAAAGTGGAGACAAGGAAATGGGAAATGCTTTTGGAATTGGGTGTAATTGTGACTGGCGGGGCCTGGGATTGTGCTCAGCCTGACACTCGAGGTAGACTGGTGAAGTGCAGTATGGCCTAAAGGATGAAGGAGAATGGCATGCTGGCTTTAAATTAGCTCCTTTTTTGACGTTCGCGAAGACTCTTGTTGCGTCTCTTACAGGCTCTCTCTGGTACACGCTGCTCGTTTAAAGATGACAGGAGGTTAATCAAGCTTTAAAGAATGAAATTACAACAGACATGACAGGCGGGATTGAATAGATTTGGCACACTGACTGTTAAAACTGCTACCAGAGTCTTCTTTTTACTAGTAGAAAACATGACATAAAAATGCTGTCAATCCCAGCAGATCAGGGAGGAAACACAAAAATGCGAAATGAAAGTGTATAAATGGCAACCAACACAAAAGCTGGAGCATCTTTCCTTAGATTTCAGTCAAGACCAACCCATCAAAAGCAACTTTAAGTGACATGTTTCGTCATGTAACCATCAATCATGAATGAGTGTCACCACACTTAAAAATCTGCCCTCTAAAGTTTAAAATATGTGGAAATATATCTGCACCCCTTCTCGTAATGAAAAATAACTTACTTATTGTACCTTTAGAAAAGGCAGATGCCAGAAGGATTTTCTCCTCTCATCACTTCAGAGAAGAGCGTTCATGCAGCCCGATATCAGCAAACAGTGATCTTCAGATGCTTAGTACATGCGGGTGGCTTTAAAATTGTTGTTCACGAGGAGGAAACAAAGTTTCCTGGGAAGAATCTGATGCAGTCCCCAACAGGAAATAAAACCACCAAATCTTGTTTGTTGTCTCAAAGAAAAAAACTGGGAAATGGGTCAAAGGAATGCAGAGGTTTAGATAAAATGTCTGCTTCGACTCTGAAACAAAGACAGGGTAGGCTTGACTTCCTGTATAGCTCATATAGCCAGAGCAGAGGTGCTACACATCTGTCATATATATAGATATATTAGTCACATTTAAAGATTTTCAGGGCACAGTAGTCACTAATTCAAGCTGTCGGACATTTCCCAGGTTTCTGCAAAGCACAGTAAATTGCATTAAGGACTTATGATTTAAATAAAAAAACCAGCTATGAACTAACCTAACTATAGTACTTTTAAATCAAAGTTACCTAACTTAAACATCAATCTTGAAAAATATATATATGAAAAAACTCCTTAGCACAAACTATGCTAATTATACAATTTCCCATGAGGAAACAGGTTCCAGTTGATAAGGTTAGAAGAACAGGTTTAATTTAAACATCTGAACAAAGTATAATGAGGCATATTTACAAGCCAGATTCTTTTGCAAAGCTCATTCGAGAAACTAATTATCTGGGAATAAGTTTCTTCCAATAGTTCTGTTTGCTGCATCGTGCAGCTTTATCACAAATTAGAAACACTCAAATTTCTAAGGCAGAGTTACAACACACACAATGAATGAACAAACGTGGAATAATTTTAAAATATGGAAGAATGTCATTTTGGAGAGCATAAATAAAACCTGGACCTTTTGAGTCCTATAAATCAGATGGTTCAGCTTCAAATCATTAAACATTTTTAAAGAGACCCCGATTTCAAAAGGGAAGGGAAAATTCTGGGGGAAAAAATTCAATGATTAAATAAGCTTAAAATTAGAGCAATAAAGATGGCGGTAGTTATTGATGCATGTTTAAACTCCATGAAAACTTATCTCTTGGACAAATACAGTAGTTACTTTTCTGGCATTTAGATTGGAAAACTAGAGTTTTATAAACTGGTTAAAGTTAATGGGAAGATGAATGCACGGTACCAAAGAGCAGAGAGAGAAAGAGGGAAGTTAACATCTGTTCTGTCAATCGTCATTGGCAAAGGTCAAATTCGTAACTCTGCAATCTCTCTGCCCGGTTTTATTAATCATAAGAACAGACAAGGATTTAAAGAGGAGCAGCAAAACCAAAAGAGGTGGATTAGCAGAGTTTGCCATCAACTAAAGTGGTCATCCTGGACGGTATTTACTTTAGATTTTTTTAATATAGGATATTAAGAAACACTTGTTCTGAGTGTCATGATTCAGACATTAAGCCTTTCCACAGAACCTGCAAAAACTTTCCCTTCTGAATTGGCTTGATGCTTTTAGTCTTTTAGGAAATTAAAATAAAGTTGTTGATAGAAAGGAACATGTCTGCTCCTTTTTCATATATAATATATCTTAAACATAACTAACTCTGGATGCCATCTTTTCTCAGGAAGCACAAAATTGAAAATGGCACCAAATTTTCTATTTAATTTTGTAGAAACGTCCGAGCTAACTAAAAAATAATTAACCTAGCCCAAGCCCAACTTTCCCTTTGCGTCAGTTTTATGACTCCTTCTCACGGTGAAACTCTTGGGTTTGAAGATGTTCCTTCTGTAGGAGTCATTTAATCTGCCAAAGATGTCGTCATGTAAAGCCAGGGCATGCCTCATACAACAGCCATAGCCTCTGACAGCCTGAATTGGTTGTGGAACATAGGATGTAACAGGTTTTGTCTGGGGATTTATGAGCAACCACAACACTTTTCACTCAGTATTTCCAATGTAGACAGCTGAGGAATACGTTTTATGACTCCAGTCTAGCTCTTAGAGTTGTTATTTCTCGAAGAAAGAATCCCGCCGCCCCACCAGAGTGTTAATACTTCACGTTTTAAAGACTTTTTACAGCACAAGGTGTTGTCTTATCAAAGTCCACTTGTTGCTCATTAAATGCATCTATAAAAGCGTTCCAATTAACAATCTCTTAATCTAATTAACATCATTTAAAAGTTGCCATAAACTTATCAGTCTCATTTGTTTCAGTTTCTTCAACATCACGCTCCTGCAACGCACATCTTGTCATGCAGTTGTTAAAGCAGTAAAAACATACATATGACAATCGAACAGCCAGTAAAGCATAAAAGTTTGCAAGTCTTGAGAAAGCAAACTATCTAAAGTGCTGGTGCATAACATCTACAACAAAAATACGTGGCAAGTCTACTCATACACATAAAAAAACAAACATTTCAAGTGATCTAAACACTACAGCAGAAAAGAAAATGTCCTAAAACTGCTATAAGACAGGAAGTCATATCATTCAGTAACCATGCAGCCCAACATGACAGACAGTAAAACCATCTGACTACTGGAGCTGATCCACAATGCAGAAAAATATGCTGAGTGCTTTGACTGCTTTAAGGCTCATGGTAATTTTTGGGATTCACTTTTAACTATGAAAAAGGATTCATAAAATCTCAAAATATACAACATTACTTCAACATTTCTATATGAATTTAACTGAAGATATTGATTAATTCAGCCTTTATTCTCAGTTGTTTGTAGTGTTTGTCAAAGAACAGCTGGTGTTTCATGTTGTTTGGGCTTCATTTTTAATGAACATATAAACCTGGTTTATGTTGAGGACTACAATAAATGTTGTGTCTAAAAACATTTGTGCTGGATCAAGGATTTAGGTTTGTTTCCAGCTTTAGTGAGGTTAGCGACTGAGCTAATGCTAGGCTGAACCATGCTAGCAAGCTAAACCTGTTAGCCAAGAGGGAGTCGCACCCAGTGAAAGACTCATTATCTGTGGTTGTTGGGGAAAACTTTAGCTGTTTGACCTTGAGAGAGGTCAAAGAGGGAGTCAACAGCCACACCTCAGATGTGATTGCAGCTGTTGTTTATGACCATAAGATGTTTTCTCTTAGGATTTCTTTCTTTTTTTTTTCTTTTTTTTTTAAACCTTTTTCCCATTTTCTGACAGAAGAAAATGTTTGCCTCTAGATTGGGTTAAATCAATAACCAGGCGCTCCAGACAACCTTTCAAAATGTTTGCCAAAATAAGTAGCCTCAGCTGTAGCTTCGTCTGAGTTGTATAAAGGAGAGTTTCACTGCAGCTGCATTTTTCTCTCTTGAAGTTTTAAGAAATTTTGAATTTTGAACATGAAAATTAATGTAAATATTGTGCTCAAGCCGTCTTAATAGAGTATGGAGCGTTAAATTGATCTAACAGGTTAAATTTATCTAATTTCTGTCGTTATTAAACTATTAAAATTACTTTTAAGACTTTTCTTAAAATACATTCAAAATAAAATGTTTGCAAATCTTTCAACTAGTTAAACAGTTCGTTTTATCAGAGTGATATCAAAGCGTTTGCCTCCACCGACTGCCATAATGCTATTTATGTGCTATAAAAATTTACTGGGCTTGATATTTGATCTAATCTCTTCACCTAATATACACATAACACCAGCTTGAATGTGATTCTCTGTTTTTTAATCTATTAGGCAAAAGAGCTTCCAGGCTAAGATAATAGAGGCGAAACATCAGGTTACACAAAGTTTTCCCCTTTGTCTAGATGGATATTTAATATCTATAAATTTAGGGCCTTTTTAATGATAAAAGAGGACAGTTATCTTAAGTGAGTCTAATTTCATATGTTAATTCGTGTTATTCATGTCGCATTTTGATAAATTGAACTTTAAAAAAGCAAAACACATCTCGCACTCTCCAAAATGTCATTTCCGAGTAAAAAAAAAAAAGTTAGCAACTCAGCACAGGACTCTGCTTTTTCATAGACCAGCTGAAATTACATGTTCTGACAGGAAGGACGTGTGAGTTACGCAGCCAGGAGCAGTGCAGTGTAGGACCAACAATCGTGCTGGGTCTGGGTTAAGAAAGGCAGTGAAATAAAGACACACCTAGAGTTCTGTTACCATAGTTAGCACCCGGCCACCGAGAGGCTGGACTGGAAGGGCTTTGATCACCTGTAACAACGTGGGCAGTCAAAGAAAAAAGGAAAGGAAAAAGGAAGGTGAAAAAGGAAGAGAGAAAAATCCATCAGAGGTGACATATTTGAGGTAGAACAAGTCCCAAAGAAAGAGAAAAAAGAAGAAAAAAATACCCCACATAAATGTCTGACAGAAAGAGACGAATAAGACCAAACAATAAGAGGACAATTTGTTAAGATAACATTAAACATTAGAGTAAATCTAATCTAGTCTTTGGTTTAATTTCAAGTATCAGGTTTTGGCCTCAATAAAAAGTAAAACATTTGATACTCACCAGCACCACAACTTTTTTTTTTTTTAATTATTATTTTGAAAAAGAAATCTGATGTTATTTTACCCCAACATACACTAAAAGTTACTTTATATGTAAAACTATTGGTTTCTGTTCTATTATATCTGATATGCACATGGAGGAGGAGTTAATATTATTTTAGACAAAAATTGAGTTTTTGTAGCTCATTTAATAGTGTGATGAAGAGCAATAATCAGGAACAATATGCACATATATTTGATGGAGACACTTCTATAAAAACAGCTACTTACTCTCTATTCTCGCTTCATCCCAGTCTTATCTTGTATAATAATTATATCTTAGGCAGTTTCTCCTCCATCAAGGAAATTAATTTAACATCCAGACAGCATCTCTGTGTCATAGTTTGAACTGCATTACTTTTGTTTTTGGTTTTTTTATGCTTTGCAATTTTTAAATGTAAATGTTCACAGGACAGGACTAAAAACAGTAAAAAAAAAATGTCAATCAGAATGTTTTGTCCCCCTCCAAAAGCAAGAATAATCTTACAGACCAATGGAGATGAACAATTAGGACAGGGACATATTTGGGTCTGTTCTTTATAAGCTATAAGGTTAAAGTACTGAATTACAATAAGTCAACCTGCCTAGAAAAGTCAAGTAATAATATGTAGGTTCAAAAGCAAAAAAATGTCTCTAGGTATTAAAATTTTGACTGGTATTATTTGAAAAATGTGTCAATCTCTTCTCTTTGGAGAGAGCAAGCTACATGCCCACATATACATTTTATAAACTGCTCTATGAAATAACTAAAACAGTAGTTTAACATTATGGTGTTTTTAAATGAAATATTTGCCATCTGAGGCTCAACCTAAAAATTTAAAACCCAAATCCTCCTCTCCATCTCATCGCCCCCATTGGTGTTTATATTCCCTTCCAATACCTTCTGTCATTATTGGCGGTATGGAGATGGCAGCACCTGTGGCTCAGCTGCAGAAATCTCGACTTGCATTTCATTTGACCCTCATGCTGTTGAAAGGTAGGACTCCCCTGAGCACGGCCCATTCATCGAGGCAGAGAGGAATAACACCGGATTAAACCAAACTGGCTTTGGTCGTGTTTCTGGGAGATTTATGAAGAGGAGGATCATATGTTTCTTCTGTCATTCCCTAGGACACTGATTCTTTATGAAGCATTGTTTATGGACTTTGTACTCATGTGGTTAAAAACATCCTTGAAGCAGGCGAAGAATTTGAGATGGTCCAATATTTGCATAGATGTGTAAAGTCAAAAGCCAATCACTTTGCAAGTATAACGTTGAGCTGGACAGGAAACTGAGACTGGCAGACAAGAGGAGATCCCACAGAGGATCTACTTTCCTACCATTTCGTGGTGTTCGTTTTCGCCGATCACGGAAAGCTGCTCCAGACTGCAGGGCTTCCATCAGACTGTCCATCACGCCAGTTTCATCCCCTTCTGCAAGAGAACAGAACAAGAGACAAAAAAACATGTTTGTAGTGAAAAACATAACACAGTCTTTACACATGCAGATAATCACAAATACACTTGTATGACTTGTTTATATGACTCAGATTTAACTTTTTGGCCTAAAAGTAACAAACTATTTGTCTCAGAGAACTAACAGCCTGAATACATTATAGATCATTATAAAAACATGGTGGTGGCAGCATCATTCTGCGGGGATCCTTAGCAGGAGAGCTGGTCAAAAATGGATGGAGCCAATTACATGGCAAATTCTGGAGGAATACTTGTTACGAACAAAAATGTTTAGCTTGGCAAAACGGGCCTCTAGTGGTCGACCAACTTGGGGGTAAAATGTGACCTAATTTTGACCTAATAGTGACACTATAAAAAACAGACATCTGTGCAACCAAACATTTGAGGAAAAAAAGTCTCAGACACTAAAAACCTCCTTATAGTTCAACAACATAAGCATTATTGAGGTCTAAACCAATCAAAGATTGTGAAAGGCTGCTGTTCCTATACGCATGCTGCAGGTCAGGGTAGTTAGATGAAAAGAGTGGAAGTAGCACAGATGAGCAGGAAAATGAAAAGAACTGACTTTATAAACCATGATTTTGCTTTAATTTCAATTTCATAGTAAATAGAACCAGACGCATCCAATGACATATGGAAAAGCAGAATTTGACCCACTGATTCATTAAGATAGTTATATAGAGCAAGAATGACCCATATAGCAATAATGTCGTTGAGAATGGAATAAAAGTTTCTAGACCAGCACAATTGCAAATCAACCAAACAGTAAAATTGTATGCCTTTCTTTTTAAAGATATATTTTTAAACAAAAATCAACAGCTTTTGTTGTCTCATTAAAACACTGCATTTATTTTATTTTTGAGCTGTGAACTTAAACGTTTCAAATCAAAGCATATTACTGTGTTAGAATAGTTTAGACTTTACTCTGTTTTTCTAAGATTTACAAACTGGTGTTCTCAGATTCCCTCATCTAATCTGACCGGGTTTGAGTGGAGAAGAACATTTCGCTGCAGCTGGAGCTACAACAAAATGTGGAAATACACACCACACTTTTCAGATTTTTATCTTTAAACCAGTGTTGTGGTCAAGACCACCTAACCCGAGACCAAGACAAGACCAAGACCAGAGCGTATCGAGACCGAGTCAAGACCAAGACCAGCACCCTGCGCTACAAGACACGATAAAATGGTGAAATATGATCAAAATTGCTTCTCAAACTGATCTCAAAGATCCATATTCCCATAAAAACACTTAGATATTAAATATTTAACAAATTTTACCAATATTAAAAGGAGGACAAACTTTGTTCTGCTTTGCTTCCATCTTTGTGCTACAATCCGCGGTGGTCTCGTGCCATCCCTAAAAAGATAACGCCTTGAATGTTTGCCCATATTGCTCATGTCAGAAACCATCACTATCTGCACCATTAAACACAGCAATTGAGGCAATGCCCTGATGGTAAATAATGCTCAACTACGAACACTGACCAAGGAGCAACAAGCAAGAAGTAACCAAGCACAAGGCACTCACGGTGACTGTTTTCACCCTCTCTCCTGCTACATGAAGCCAGGCAGTCTGACACCATGGCACACATTACAGCTGCCACTTTGAACGAGCAATGTGCATGCTCTGTGCTCTTTCGTTATTGTGTTCTATTTATTTAATTTAAAAAAATCAATGTACATAATTAAATAAAATAATGATAGCTACTGCAGTGTACGCAGAGCATTACAACAACAAAGAACGGCTCTCAGTGACACTCCAGTCCTATTTTCTAAGTAAAGAGCCATTCAGAAGAATTGGACTGTTCCTGAATGCCACATCACTATATTGCGGACTTTTGGACACAGCGTTGTCCCATATATGCAACAAGTCAGTCAACACCTCTCTCCGGGGAGGGAGGAGTAATAGAAACACGGTTATTGCTTGGATTTTAATTGGTGCATTTTGCATCCAGTGACAACAAATATGTTAACAAATAAACTGGACAGTATGCTGTACGTTTAGTGATATCTTCACAGTTGCGGTCTCGACTGATCTTGAAATAAAATACAGAGTCCTCAGCGCTCGAGACCGAGACCAAATGCGGTCAAGTCCGAGACAAGACCGAGACCATCAAAAAATGGTCTTGAGACCAAGACCAATCTCGAGTACTACAACACTGCTTTAAACCATGTATCATTTTTCTTCTGCAATATATGGAATCTATCATAAAACACCCATTACAGTCTAAACCTAGACAGCATGTGAACATTTCAAGGACTGTAAATAATTTTGCAAGACACAGCAACTATTTTCAGAGCGGCTACTCTTGAGTCTTGATGGACAGGCCTGTCACTGACTTTGGTTTGTCTTTTTTTTTCTTTTCTTTTCTTTTTTAGTAAACAGTTGTGGTGGAGTAAAACACACTTAGCTTAGGTTAGAGTTTAGCAGAGAGGAGCCTCAGGATGAAAGCATCCAGTGATGGTCATTGACAGATATTCTTTCTGTGGCTAACGCAGGGGGAGCTAAGTGCTCTTTACAAAGATTTAGTGTGGAGCCGCTCAATACCGAGGCTTTCTATCATTGTTCAGTCAATGACACTGGGACTGGGCTCCGAAAAACACTCCCCCTGCCCACCATTTCATCTGCCCTGTGAATCCATGCAACCAGAGAAGTGAAGGCAGTCAGCATTGGAGCATTTAAAGAGCTGCAAGGCCAACGGCAGGACGAGATGTGGCCATACTGCGCGCATGAAGCTCCACTCAGCAGTTCAAAAATAAGCTTAGGCTTCATATCTGGGTCATCTGTCTTTGTGCCCACATACTAATGAGTTAGAGGGGCAACCTTTTCATCATTCTGGTCTAGAATAGACATTATTTTAAAACTAGGATCATTAGGGTGAGTTATTGTGGACCTGGAGACTTGGCAATCAATTCTTTTGCATGTATGAGTAAACTGGCTCTTCCTGCAGGGTTTTACCGTCGTTTCTTGCAACCCGTTTATTGCTGGAGGGAAAATTTTGTGGAGAAAAATTCTACATTCGGACTCAGCACTTTTACAGGAGTAATCAACCTTTTTCATTTGTGTGTGTGCTCAGTGATACAAGAGTCAGCCAATAGTAGTCAATTAAAATATAGGTATTTCCCAGTGGTGCATCTTTTTTTTACACTATATATATTGGCAATAAAAACACAACTAGGTAAAGTATGCACTTCCACTGCAGGACACAGCAATGAAAACACAAATTCAATTAGTCAGAAAATGAGCCGATTACATAACACCAATAAAGGATTTTTTTTTTTAAACAGAACAGTTTTGTTTGTTGGCCAATCAAGCACTTTGATCATAAAAGCAGGTGCTGATACTTTTGACACTCTGGGCATTTCCACAGCCCTGCAGGAAAGTGAAATAAGCACCAATTGGGACACTGATTTCCAAATAAAAAACAAAATTTTCATCCCAAATAAAGACTGTGGACCACTGAGCAACAGGTCAGTCCTCTGTCTCCTTACTGGAGGAACAATCCAAAATGTGGCTTTTCATTAGGTTTTCAGCAGGTGTAACTCCAAATCATCAGAATTAACAGAAATATAAGCATAAAATATATTGCTCTGTTTTTAATAAATATGTATCATTTTATTTATTTATTTTTATTTAAATTTGAGAAAACCAATTGCATATGTTTATTTACAAATTATCCTTAGACTCACATATAGGTAAAATGTTTTGCAGCAGCTGTACAGCTCCTTAAAAGAGGAATTCAATTAAAAATATGTGCACATTTTGTGATATCATAAATGTGCATGTGGAAGTTCAGAAGGATTTGATTTAATCTTAAATAAATGCAAATTTCCAACAAAATAGCAAAACAAATAGAATGACTTGATCTAAGGGCGACAAACTGTGTCTAGTATGATTTTATAAATGGTAGCTGGTGGCTTTAATGAAATGACACATTTTTCTATTACTGTTGAAAGTAGCGTCTGCAGATGTTGCTTCTTTCTCCAGCTACAAACCACCCAACCTGCAATCACTCACACAAGTAGGAAAAGACAGTACAACTAAGAATAGAAACATGTCTTATGCAAATTTTAAAAAAGCAACTCTTAAGATGCCCTCACTAATTTTACTCTCTATCTCATTTCCTCCCTTTCTTCCTCAAGTCCTTCCCAAGGGCTACTTTGAAATCAAAGAAGCTGTGTGCTGTGCTTAAAAGCAATCCCGATTAAATCAAGCTTAATTAGACCAGCTTTATCTGAACAAAACCAGAGCCGAGTAAAGTAGTGCTTATCTCAAATTGCAGCACTACACCTCAGATAGCTAGCTCGTTGGTTTAAAAAAAAAAAAAAAAAAAAAAAAGGGAAACACGGGGTTCGTCTCCTGTGGACTTGAGGAACAATACGGCGAACAGTTTGCACTTCTAGAACTATATCAGCTCCCAAGATCTTCAGCAGGTCATCCGTATGTAGGCTAGCAACGACAGATTGCATGTTTGACAGAAGGCGGAACCTGTTAAAGCCAGGTAAACATTCATCTGCAACAACTGTGCTACAAGAAACTTCTTGACAGCTCCTTCTTCACGTAGACCCGAACATCACAGGGGGCACCTGACACTTTGATCAATTTGTCCTACTTCCAGCTTAACTTCAGCACAATTCATCATTCGTAATGGCCGGGACTGTGGAGCCCTGCTAGACTGAGGTTCAGGGGGGAGAAAGTCTGCCGACAAGAAGAGCCAAAATGACTAAAATTGGAAGCTCACTCCCTGGTTACATGTCTGATCTCAATTAACTATTCCCCCAAGTTGTCCAAAGCTTAAACTCAAGAAACTCACAAACGAGCTTCCAGAAGGTAAGAGCACACTCTGACACAGTAGTGTCTTTACAGATTATTCGTGAAATCTATAAAGGCAGAATTTACTCAGTGTTTATGGAAATAAAACTCAGTATTATTTGAGTACACTTACTGTTGTAATCCTCAACTCAAGCTTTCCTAATTGCTTATTGTACCATGCCCACTTCAGCGGACATTTCTGCTTTGTTCAAGCAATTCGCTCGTCTTATTTTGAGCTGGTAAACCTAAGGCAAACAGTCGTCTCCCTCTTATTATCGGCTGTGCTACATTGCGAGATGAGGAATTACAGAAAAGCTAACCTTTTATACCTAGAGATCTTTCTCAAGAGGAGAGATCCCTCTCTGCTCACAGGAAATTGCTTTCTAAATGGGTTAAGATGGGCTAAGACCCAGGACATTGACAAACCCTTCCGGTGATGAAACACCTCGGCGGGGACCCGACGCCAGCAGGCCTGAGGTCCTTTAATGATCTTAATAAAGCTTGTGGAAATGTGGAAGATAGTTAATTTCTTAAACACTTAAACCTTCAATAGGAGAAATAAAACTCTGGGAAGCTTTACTGCCCTCAACGGTTCCGTATCTTTCCCCGATGATCCTTTCACTTCCTTCCCATCCCGTACCTGGATGTCTGGTACCTTGACCAAAAACCTGCGTCGAAAGCAACTGTGAGCCCGAGAGATTGGCTCACCGCAGCATATTTACAAGCAGTACCATCACATTTTCTAATTAGGAGCTGTAACAAGAGCAATGTGCTCTCAGCTGGATTGCCATAAAAACTTCACACATCAGATTAGTTTTTCTGAAGTAAAAAAAAAAAAAAGCGAGCTGTAAACTAAAACAGAAAAAAAAAGAAAGCAACTGTGATGTACCACCATTCCCAGGAGCGGAGCACTAAGTCAAACCTCGACAGCAGCAAAGGAGGGGAAAGGAAGGGATATGAAAAGAATAAGCACAGGCGCTTTAAGTGTCACCATCAGGGAGGAAAACTGTAAAGAAGAAAATGAGGCAGGAGGAAGAATGCAGGGGGAGGTTGGCACACGCAGGGCAGAACGGGGAGGAAAGAGCGTTTGCTGGAATGGGTTATTGGGAGGGAATAGCGAGGCAAGACAAGGCACAAGGTCGTAAAACATCTTCCTGCATACTTGAAGGCCCCAGCTCTGTGACATTTAATTATTTCTAAAACATACTCTGCAGCGTGCGATCCACAGACACACATACCTAGAGCTGGAGTTAGACCTGCCATGTATTAAAAGTAATACCAGGCCATGTTATATATTGAAAGAGTGCTGGATCCACTTTATAAACTAAATGTTACAGAGCGGATCTCTCGGCTGACATTTTCACACTGAGTAGATAGATACCTAACGGAGGGGGAGATGAGAACGTATAACACCTCGCAATATTTGAACCTTTTCCACTTTTTGTCACGATGCAATCACTGGGATCTATGCGATACATGCATACATATTCTGAGTCAATACTTGGTAGAACCACGCTGTGCTACAATTAGAGCTGCCAGTCTTTGGGGAACGTCTCTGCCACCCTATGCAGATCAAGACACTGAAATGTTGCCTGTTTTTCTTGGCAAAATAGCTCAAACTGAATGGAGAGCATCTGTGCACAGCAATTTTTCCTAATCTTGCCAACAAACAACAATTCAGGTTGGGACTTTGGTTGCAATCACCATGTTTCAGAGTGGAGACTGTTTGTTTGGGAGTGATAATGATTTTGAACTCATCTGATCAGAGTGGCTTTTTTCCCCATGTTTGCCGATATCCCCTGCATTTTTTATGAAATAAAAAAGCACTTTTATAGCTTCCTCACCAAAGGCTTCCTCATAAAGGCCACGTTTGTTGAGTCCAAAACTAATAGTTGCCATTTCAACAGATTCTCCCACCTGAGCTGTGGATCTCTGCAGCTCCTCCTTGGTTATATTACTGTCCAAGTCTGTCCTGTGAGGTCAGGTGAACGGCCATGTTTTAGTAGGTTTGAACTTAATCCACACTCTATTCTGTTAAGCAGATGATGGATTGAACACTTTTCATGGGATCAG